TACATTCATCATGAATCATAAGATACAACACTTAATAATAGTCATATGATACTAAATAAGCAATCAACAAATCATACTAGGAAACTAAATAAACAATATAAATAATAAAAATACAAGCAACAAAGTTATAGTCATAAGTAGAAAAAGGGGCGTAATAGGAAGGATGAGAAGAAGAATAGTAATACAGTCATAATAAATAGCTTGACAGTGTTGTGGGAATTAATTGTTTAGCAGAGTGATGGCATGGTGGGGAACTGTCTTTGTGTCTAGTTGTTCTGGCATGCAATGCCCTATAATGTCATTTTCAGGATAGAACTTGAAACAATTTATGTCCAGGATGTGGTCTGTAGATACAGCCCTCTTTTTAACTCGTGCAGTATACAGGTACTAATGGAAGGCAGATTGATAGCAATTGTTTTTCTGCAATTCTAATTATCCATTAGAAGTCTGTATCTGTCTTATTTATTTTCTGAGCCAAACCAGACAGTGATAAAGGTGCAGATGACAGACTCAATAATTCCTCTGTAGATTGTACATATTGTAGATTATTGGCAACAGATTGTATCAGAATGCTAATAGGAATGTCAGAAAACCTGCCCATTCTTAAAAATAGCTTCACAATGAACAAGAAAGCACTGTAAAAAAAATGACTTATTGAAGGAGTGAACTTTATATATTTGAACGGTTACAAAAATAATATGTTTGGAAGAGATGATGGATGGCATCAACAATAAAATTAAATGCTGACAATCTGAGATCTGCTGGAGTACTATTTTATAAGCGGAAAGATAGGAGACTGAAAAAGAGCTCATTATGAAAATAAAAATGAAAAGTTAGAAAATCCTGGCAATGTCAACTTTGTGGTTAATAAACCTGCAGTTGATGTGAAAAAATGTGATATCCAGTTTAATTTTCTTGGAGTTAAAATAGATAAATGAGCTGAAAAGTAAAGAAGACTAAGCCTAGTGAGAAAGGCAATGACAGACTTGGACACGATCATGAAGGATAAGGATAGTTATCTTCTGTTTAGGTTCAGAATACTAAAAACAATGTGTGTCTCCCTCTCCCCCTGCCCCCCCCCAGTGGTTATATGTGGTTGTGAAAAAATAAACATGAGAAACAAAGGAAAAAGATAGATGCATTTCAGTTATGACTCTGAAGACAGCATGAAGTCTAGCATTGATGACTGTCCCAAAGATGTTTTTGTTTCAAAAGGCAACTGGGCTTTCTTTGTTTTTGTTTGAAGATGTTTTGCTTCTCATCTAAGAAGCTTCTTCAGTTCTGAAGTTTGGGAAACATCTGTAAGAAGCCAGCATCGCCACCCACTCACTGCAAGAATAATGAGTCAGTCCTGGACCAAAGAAAAACTGTCTGTTTGAGTTGATGATCAGTCCTCTATGCTTTTCTGTTCTTTTGACATAGTGCAAGCATCCTTAGGATTGCTCTGTAAGCCAAAAAGCTTTACCGTTGACTGTCTCCATATAGACTGGAAGTGGAACCTAAACAAATGCCACTATTTGATGGTATTAACTCTTAATTTTTTGCCATTTCATCTCCCAGGGCTTTTTAGTAAATTTAAAAAAAAACACCTTGGCATTGGCAAAGACAGACCACCTATAGGCCATCACATCTAGTGTCTTAGTTACCTCCAAATTCTAGAAATGATTCAGGCAGATAGCAGAACTAAAAGTTTTCCTAGACTTTTGCTGAAAACTCACCGGATCCATAAAGTATCTGGTACAGATAATCCTGATCAGTCCTTCCTATGACTTCAAGAAGGCCAGGAATCCTAATGAACTAAACAGTGATCAAATCACAGTGATCTGACCATGACAGATTGAAATGATCTCCACTTTCAGATCACACACCAACAGTTTCAATATGAAAACTAGAGGCAAGGAATCACCATCTACATGCTTTGGGTCAATTATTACTTGAAATTTTCTTTCATTAAAAATTGAAGGAAAACTCACTTGGCATTTTCAGAGTCATCTTTCTGAAGGTCTTTGATAGCTTAAAAATAATTAACAAACAATTCCCAAATTAGAAAAGGACATTTGTGAAAGCAGTGCCCTTTAAAAGGCACTAACTGTGGTTGTGAGCACAATGTTATTCTTGTATGTCACAGTGCTCAAAAACCACCGGTTGCTGCTATTTGGTGCACATGTGGGTGATCTCCCATTCTCTCCTTGTCCAGAGAGGTTTACTTACTGGCTCTTCATTATTTGCTGTGGTCGTCAGATCCATCTTTTGCAGAGCCATTTTTAATCTGCCTTTTCTTCTTCTGTAAGTTATCTGGGTGTAACTTTTGAATATTTTAATTTGAAGAAATGAATGGATTCATCCAGAGGTGGGGAAACCTGCTCTAGAGCTAGATCAGGCTATATATTTACATATTGTTTAGTTAGCCTTTTATTCCTTGGAAGATTTTCTGCTGAAATTTTAATATTAGTGTTGCAATAAAAATATAACTATATTTTAAGTAATACTGAAAAATTACATAGGCACTTATTAGTTAATATTATCATTCATCCTACTCCTGGGTAAGCTTATTAATGTGCCTGTGGTAGCATAGTTGCCCTTTGGGATAAACATCTTTTGGCTAAATCCTTTTCCTGTAATTCTCATTAAAATTTAAAAACAAAAAAATATTTAAAACCATGAATAATATCAACATCATAGATTAACATCATATAGATTAAGCAGCTCAATATAGATTAAGCAGTTCAACTGTTGTCTCTCTTCAGTTGAGACTGCCAGTGATGCAAATTACATGCTACTTTCAGACAAAAGAACTTATAAATTGGAGTTACACATTAGAGCAACATGAATTTCCTTGGTCTATGTTGAATTAGGCTTGATCATATGGAACTAATCTAATATGGATGTTACATTAGTTCTGCATTTGTCAGAGAAATTATGTAAAGCTGCAACATTTAATAGAAATAACAAAACTAGAATGCAGGTTCAAGATACACAGATTAATCTTTCTTATAACCTCTTCCAGATCTATTTTCCAGCATTATCGTCATTGTCCTCTTTCCATTCTGAATTTAGGTGTCCTTTTCTAAAGGTACAGTTGGCTCATGGGCTTTGACTGGTCAGAAACAGCTATGTACTATTCATAGATTTTGTGACCTACATAAGATAACTAGAAATGGATAGCTGAAAGTAAACATAAAAGTTCCTGGATTATTCAATAGTGAAATCCATTTATTTCCTCCAGTTGTTCTCTCATATCTTCTAAGATGTTTTTGCTTTCTAAGTCAGTAAAAGATAGAAATGATCTTCTATGATATGACTGAATATCTGACATCTTCCCGTCTTCCCATTTTTCCAGTTTTATCTGCTAATAGGCAGTCTCCTTTCCAAAATGACTCAGCCTTAATTCTTTTGAGATATCTTCTTGCATTGATTATATTCCTGACTGGTTTGATTAATTAGTAGGGGTGGTTTTTTGTTTTCTTCTTCTTTGAATGTATTTATTAGTTTGATATTCTATTGCTTTGTATTTTAATCTGAATTTGTGATAATGGGAACTGTAAAATGCCCAGAGTTCATTCGAACATCTCATAAGCCTTGTAAAATCAGATATAGATATAAAATCTCCTTAGGAAATGGGATCTTGTAATACTGGGCATATGGCTGCATTGACATGTCCTTCTGAGAATTGTCTTAAAGCACCAATTACACCCACAGGGGGATTAGAAGCCACAATTCATAGATAATATCATGAGAAATAATTAAGATTATGTAGCTATTGAGTGATCCCAGGAAAGATAACTATTTTATGGTGTTGAATAAATTGTGGTATTCATTCTTTTGCACAATCTAAGATGGATTATTCCTGCTTCTTAGAAAATTTGTGGAACTGAAGTCCAAACATCTGGAAGGCCGCAGAATGATATTGAAGTGTCTAAAAATTATCCATTCATGGATATTTTTGCAGCTATTTCCTTTCCTTTCTTTTTTATGTTTCTTATTCTGTCCAGATAGTAAGTTACACTTCACCAAAAGATATGAATAATAGAGAGTGGCCTAAGAGACTTTACATATGTTATTTTAATACACATATAGACATCATGAATTCAAGTGAAATAGAAATATTATGTACCTCTTAGTAAGGGAGAAAGCAGAGTTTTGGCAACCTGAGTGTCTGCTAAACTTATAGTTTAAGGGCTAAAAGTTGATGGGCAATTTTGAGATCTTAAATCTTTCTTTGTATGGATTTGAAACTGAAAGACCATAAAAAAGAACTATTATTTGGTCACATTAGATGATATCAAGAACTCCAATTTCATTCCAAACTTTATTGTTAGGAAAGCATATGGTTTGCAATTTTGAAATAGGATTAGTCTCAATTGGATACCATATCAAAAAGGTATTTTTAATACACCTTAAAAGCAGAATAGTTTATAGGACTGATCTTGGGCTTAATCTGAAAAGAAATGTCCATTTATGAAATATTTTTACTGTTCTTACTCCAAGAATGTTTACTTCCAATGAAACAACGAAAGATTCTGGTACAGCTTATTATCAGGCAGTTTGGGATATTTGTGTATTCTAAGTTTAGGTTTGTTTAAGTGGCAACTGAATTTTAAGATGTATACCACCTGTCAGTTATTTACCTGTTCCTATTAAAACAATGAGTATTTCTGAAGGCAAACCAGGAAAAATGTGAATATGACTTCAATCAGGAAGATATGCTGTTTAAAAAATTTTTTAGAGTGCAGAGATGGATATCTTGTCTGCTTTCAGCCGATTGCCACCATTTATGCAAGCAGGCTGCTTTTTAACATTAATGTTAGTTATTTGTAAATAGTTTGTTAGGTATTTACCTATGCGGCTGGAAAAAATGAAAAATGATATTCCCACTATCTGCAAATTATGCAAAATCAATACATTACAGTGTCACGTCAAGCCCACTAGATGGCATGCAAGAAGAAAGGGAGGGAGGGAGGGAGGGATTGGTTTATATGACGAAAATTTCTACAATCCAAGGTATTCTTTGTTATTCAGATTCACAAGTTAACACCAGAAGTCATTCTTTGGTTTAAAACAGATCGTTCAATCGCACTCTACATGAATTATGAAATCATTACATTAAAAAAACACTTTAATTCGTCTATTAGGAACAGTTCAAATTATTTAATTGGCTTACATTAACTTGACCCATAATTTACAGTGCGATGGATCATACACAACTTATTGCTGCGGCCAACAGCAGATGAAAAGATTAACAGTATGGTACTAAACATCCAGAACTAAAGGCAGTAATTCATATCACTTTTTCAAGATACAGAGGCCTTTTCTACCATCAATTTCTTTTTTTCACCAGTGCATTTTGTGTCCAACCATGTGATAAGTGCATTATTTTGTGCTTTGTTGTTTGTTTCTTTTCTCCTAAAGGCTTTATAGGCAAAAGAGTTAGTATTGCTTTTTATAACTGTTTAAAAGTAGTAAGGAAGCTGCTCATGACACTAACAAGTCTTTAGTGATTTTAGCAAAAATAAAATTGAACTCCATGTCCGAATAGCCCACTTCAGGATTTTCTTCTATTTTTCTCATCTGGGTTCATGCAATCCTTGCACTCTGAGATTCAATAGAGTCTAATGCTCTACCACGTATCTGATGGCCCTGACATCTCTCTTTTAAAAACGCAACACATACTGAAAGCCTAATCAGATTGTGGACTTGGGTTCGAGATGATGATGATGGACCAAAAAAAAAAAAAAAAATCCTCTGGAGCCATATGTTGCATTTGCAAAGTTTGGCACCAGTCTGCTAGATTTGATTTATATGAACTACAAACGGGCAATAGGAAAACTCCAAGGTAAGCACGTTGAAGGGGAAATTCAAAGAAAAATAGTGAATAGCTAGTGAGAAAAAGGCAAATGTGCCGTGTTGCAGACTGCAAAATGAGAAAAAAGCCTGTATTCTGAACAACATACAAACAGGAATTGTGGAATGCAAAAATTTCATCTAAGGAGGTCCAGGATGATAGACTGTATTTCCACTAAGCTGTGAGATGCTCTAAATTCAGTGACGGCACAGTTATATTTTATTTAGGGCTAAGGCAGTGGTTGGATTCACATTTTTTTTACTACTGGTTCTGTGGCTTGGTGAGCGTGGCAGGGGAAGGATACTGTAAAATCTCCAGTCAGAGATGGTATTTGTTGGTTCTCCAAACTACTCAAAATTTCCGCTACCGGTTCTCCAGAACTGGTCAGAACCTGCTGAATACTACCTCTGGTCTAAGGGTCTGTTTCTTGATTCAAAATACTACAAAAGAGAATTCAGCCGAATGGCTTTTCTTAAAAAGCAGCCACGTTTCACCATGGAGCCTACGTTTATGTTACATTTCACCCACAAAAGTTGACATTGGAGCAGAATTTCTGTTATTAAAAAATTCTTAGGTTGTGTTTTCTCCCTCCAGAAGAATTAAGGACATTTCTAGTCCTTAGTGTGCAAAGGCAGATTTGAAACCCCATAAAAATAATGCCTGATTTAAAAAAAAAACAACCCACAGAATTCAGAGAGTAGATTACAAACTCCATCCTTCTTCTCCCGGCCGTCACCTTAATCCCCCACCCTTGTGTGCACTGAAAACAGCTTAGACCTTCATTGGATCTGCCATGATGGACATTCCAACATTAAATGAAATGGGTTGTGCAAAAAGAAGCAAATAAGTAGGTTTAATATGCATAATCTACACTGTTTGTATTGAAGTTAAAAGGAGAGAAAATGTCGTATCAAGAAAGCTGACTCCTGCAAAGCATGCCCAGATCCAGCTCTTTATTCACTTTAAAAAAAACAAAAAACTGGGGGGTACCTTATAATACAAGCCAATGGCATCACTTAAGATCAAGCTATGGCCTGCTTGGTAAAGCTTTAAACAGCATTATCTCCCAAAGTCAAGAGACACTTAAAAATAATTATAAAAACAAAAATATCAACAGTCCATTCCACAACAAAATGCTAACTACAGTTAGATAGTACATGGCAGTTTCATGCAACCTACTGCCTCCAAATACTGTCTAGGAACATCTGTGGTGGGCATCAGTTTAGAGAAAGTAGATGTATGGTAACAACAGACTGTTTCTTGGCTATTGAACTTGAGGTTCCTGCTGAGCATGGGCTGAATACACATTTCCAGACTATACTGTTTTGCAACCTTGTTAACTTGCAAAAAAAAAAAAAAATACTGAGCTGATTAAGGTTCCTTAGCAATAAAAGCATTCAAATTTCTACTCCTGTCTTATGGATACAAACATTCTTAAGTATTATCAGCATTCAGGTAGCCCAGTTTGGAGCAAACTGAGTCATTGATGAGCTGGAAAAAAAATACGTTGAGGTTAAAAGAAAAAAGTCTTTACTTCAAGTCATCTTCTCTGCCTCTAAGAGATCAGCAAAGCTGAAAACGGGTTCAAGCCCCCCCCCCGCCCCCCACTTCCACTGTGCAACTCGACTTAAGAGAGTAGTGGCCTGAGTGGTTTCAAGGAGGTTTCATAAAGCAAAAAGTGCATGGCAGTTCATGATTGTGGATCCTTATTTTACCACGACTTGATCAGCCTTTCTCACTAGCATTCTGAAGGCTTATCTCTGACCCAGTAGCCCAGACTTCCTGAATATGTATAAACAAAGCAGATCCAGACACAGGAGTCAAAAACTTTACGACTGTGGGAGGATCAGAAACTCTTTGTTTCATGAGAAGCCCAACAACTAACCCCCATTGTGATTCCCTCCCTCCTCTCAATTTCTCCTACATCACACTTCAGTCATAGTTCATAAAGGTTACAGCTAAATTTAAGGCACTTCATTCTCCAGGAGATAGGATTCCATGCTATGGTGGAAGCTTATCTCTTTCTCAGCTGGTTAGATGATACAACCTCTGTATAAAATAATTAGGCAAGGTTAGGGTTAGGGTACAGGCGCCACTACTGTTATTGCATAGGCCTACACCAGAGTAGATAATGCACAGAACATGCTCTTACAATAACACTGTTGCATGGTTAAATCTAACATTGTTGGGCTCAAGACACAGTCACCTGAAGATACAGTAATTTTTTTTCCCAACATGTTTGCTGAAAAGGGTAATACGGTATGAAAGAACATAGCAACCTTATTTTCAACAATATTATTCTCACTAAAAAAAAAAAAAAAAGGAACATGTTGGAGTTTCCCCCACCCACAGACTTTTTGTTTTATTCTGCGCTCTGCTTTATTAACTAGATTAAATCTGCGTTACTATTTAAACGGTCTGTGTCAAAGCATTCCTTTAAAAGAAGACTGTAATATATACAAAATAGCCACAAATCCACTCGTGAAAAGACAGGTACCTGCACCAAAGCTTATACTGAAATGTGCATTAAAAAAAATGAAAAACAATCCATTCAGTGGGGTTTGTGTGTACGCCTTCCAGTCAGTATTTGATTCCTGGCAACTGCCTGGAATTTTCTTGGCAAGATTTTGGAAGTGATTTGCCCTTGCCTGTTTAGCTAGGGCTAAGAGAGAGTAACTGGCCCAAGGTCACCCACCTGGCTTTGTGCATAAGGCAGGACTTTTAACTGTCAAAAACTTGATGCAATGGCTAGATGCATTTTTTTTTATAAAAAATGTAATCAGAATGAAATGTTGAATCAAACAATTGAAATTTTCATCTAAATCTGATATTTTTATCACATATTTTTTTTAAAAAAGAGGAAATAATTATGCCCCACTGACAGAAAAAGTCTGTGTTATGAAGTCTTGTGCAGTATTTTTGTTTTTAATAATGTCCTCATGATTATTAAAAAATAATGCTTTTTGAAAAGGTGAGACATAATGTTGAAGAGTGCTCACTCAATGGGTAATAATATCACTGAATCTTTAGATCTCTCTCCTTTGCATTAAATCTAGCTTGAGCTGTACTTAAAATCAGTTAGTTTCTGTACAGGTAACCTGATACATGTATAGTATCTATCGCCATGAGAAAGATTATATGAATTAATAGATACTGTATACTTTTTTTTTAAAGGAGGCACTATTAAGTCACAGAAAAATAGTTTATACAAAGCTAATTTTCTTTTTGGTTTCTATACATTCTTCTTCATTTCACTTCCAAGTCACTTTACTTAGTTATACTGAAGTTTCCTCTTGAGTGGATCTTACTGATTTGTAGTCGTCTATTGCTTCTGAGTAGAGATGAAATCATTTGGAGTTCCTTGATGAAGCTAGTTCACAGATAACAGTACTGTACTTTGGAAGCACTGTAGTTATAAAACAATATACAAGTCTTTTCAAACATTAAAAAAAGTCACATATGCTGAGCTATCCGTAGTCTTATATATTCAAATATTAGGAGGGGGGAGGGGGGAAAGAAGAAAAGTTACTTTAAACTACTGATCAGGAAAAATGAAGAAGTTTGTGAGAGGCCTGTCTAAGGGTATCCACTAACAAGCCTGGTCAGCGTCTTCCATGCTTACACTGCTCCGCCGGCTACTTGTTTTCGAAGCCCCAGGGGAGACCGACGATAGGAGTGGATCAGTAACACCGACGGGAGACAGGGTGTCATCCATCAACATATCTTCCAGTTTGGATCCCATTTTGGGAGGGACAACGTAAGTGCTCGTGGCCGATTCTGTCATATTCGCCAGGCTGCCGTTGAAAGTGATGGTGCCGTCGGTAAGGTCAAGAGTAGTGGTGGAAGAAAGCTCAGGGTGGTGTTGCTGTAGGATTTCCTGGCTGCAGTTGTCAAGCACGGGCTCTTGTTTGACCAGCCGGTTTACCATTTCTGGAGAGCAAAGGCCCGTGGTTGGCATGATGGGAAGTCCGTGAGCTCGAGCCTGCATCTCAAGTTCCTGTTACGAAGAGACATGAAAAACAAGGAATGCATTGGAATGGTTTAAAAAGAAAAGCAACTTTAGGATTCAACATTTTGTCTTACGAGCAGGCAAGCCTTCTAGTCCAAACCCTCTTACAACTAATTATATTGGTCATCCAATATAGGTTCCTTTCTATATGGAAAAAGGCCAGTGGTCAAAATGGAAAATACAGTAGAGGACGTAAGGAAAAGAAGATAATTATTGGTTTTCCATCATAGTGCTGACATTAAGAAATTACTATATACGCCAGAAGGGAAACTGCTTTTGGTATCAGTTTGAGAATAAGCAGAAGATCGGTAAATCTTCCATGCAATTTCCCCTCTTCACTCAGTCTCAAAGTGGAGCCAGCATGTTCATTATGCTCTCTATAATAGCAATAGCACTTAGACTTATATACCACTTTATAGAGCTTTACAGCCCTCTCTAAGCAGTTTACAGAGTCAGCATATTGTCCCAACAATTTGGGTCCTCATTTTACCCACCTCGGAAGAATGGAAGGCTGAGTCAACCTTGAGCCTGGTGGGATTCAATCTGCCAAATTGCAGTGGGAGTAGCTTGCAGTACTGCACTCTAACCACTGTGCCACCAAGGCTCCATAATGCTTCTGTATGATTAAAAAAATGGCTCTTAATACTGTTCCTAGCAAATGGGATACAGCATTGATCCCCAACCTTTCTGGCTCGCTGAACAGCAACAGCGGTGGGGTATGGGGAGAGAGGATGGTTTTGTGCGTGAAACCTAATCCTGCACATGTAAAATTGGAGCTTTGTGTGCTTGCTTGGGCTGTGTGTGTGTGTGTGTGTGTATAGCACGTGCGTGCGCACACACACACACACACACACACATTACAGTTAATGTATATAAATATAGCTAAAAGTCACATAATAATGTGAAAAGTTTATGATTTTGGCCACATTATTAGCTGTCCAGAGCTGCATGTGGCTGCGGATCGTGGGTTGGACATGCCTTGCTCTAACTCATGATATATGTTTTCAGTGGCCAAAAAGGAAAGGCCAAATAGTAAAGATAGCTTATTGTTACATGAAACCAAAATACTGAAAAATGTAAGGAGATACAAAAGATGTCTTGATGTTGATAACAATATATGAAGTTATTTTTATGTTTTTTTAAATTTGAAAAATTAATAATTTTTTTTTAAAAAAGAAACCAATAGGTGAAGATAATTGTTTCCATGATCATGGCTTTTTGTTCAAAAGAGGGGTGATTTTTCAGACTTTCTAAGAATGGATAGAAAAGAGAAAGGGGAGCACTTAAAGTGGAATAACTAAAATGTTAATAGCAAAATATATTTGCCCTTGTGTAATAAAGAAAAAAGTTCTTGATAAGCAAATTAATTCCTAGTTAATATAGTTAAGCAAATAATCCTCTATTATTATGAAATGCTTTCTTCCTTTCCCCTAACAAATAAGTTACATCCATTTTGTAACTTTGAAACAAACTATTTTGCTGCTACATTTTCCAACAATATTCTTAAAGAAATCCAGAATTTTATATCAAATTCAAGCCATAGAATTTGATTGAGGGGGAAGGTGGCAGGATTCCTTTCCTCCATTCCTTTTAGCGCACTGAATACCAACATCTCATCTAACTTATAGGCAAAGTGCCAATAAAGCATTTGTTTTGCTTAGCAACAGACATTATGGTCATAAGTCAAGGACTATCTGTATGTGTAACCATGAGGGAATGGAATCATGCTTCTGGCCTGAACCTGCTGTCATATGCATTATCAGTTCTATGGCCAAGTATCAATTAAGCATCTTGAATTTTGCAGGGTGAAGAGTATGGCAGAGTAGTTTTATGTGCTTATGCACAGGTGTACCTGATAATTATAGTTCTTTGAATCAGTTGAAATTGGAATCTGTGATAAAATGAAAACGTGTTTCATTTACTGTATGTGCACACAAAAGAGATGGCAAAATGTTCAACCCTACCTATGTTGTGTGCATAAAAGTTTATCATCTAATCTTTATTAACTTTTGCATAATTCTTTTTCATAATTCTTTATGAAATAGAATTATCCGAAAACAGCTTTCATGTATTTATGATCATTGCTTCCAGATTGATTATTCTAGAACCATTCTAGAAACAAACCCTAATTACATTAAATAGTAGCAATTATAGCATTAATTTTCAATTTAGATTTTTAACTTTTTTTAATTCTGTCCCCGCTTCAAAAGAGGTCTTGACAGACAAGGGTGATATACATCAAATTAATAAACAATCAGACAGCTTGTAACCTTTATATACTAATCAGCAAACCTGTATTCTGAGCAAAAGATGTCTATTAGCATGTTCCAGTTTCTTTTGTCTGTTCTCTAGCTCTTTCGTCCGTTGCTGTTCTCTTTGCAACTTACGGATGTAGTCCACAGAGGCTTTTAAAATAGTTCCCTTGTTCCAACGCATGTCTCTGTAAGAATAATCCAGATCATTATGTCCATAAAGAAACACCAATCGCAGCAGGCTGAAGCACCTAGATAACCGTGGCTGGCGTCAGAAGCTAAACAGGATCAGTTAGATTGTCTATGGAGATTCTCAATCATCCAGGTCATAGCTGTCCCAAATATGCTTTTTCAAAAGGCACCTGGACTTTCTTGGTTTTTTTTCCTTGAAAACCTTTTGCTTCTGAAGAACTGAAAAAAAAATTCTTGGTTGACAAGTGAGAAGTTTTCAAAGAAAAACAAAAACAAAGTCCAGTTGCCTTTTTAAGAAGCACTTTTGGGTCAGCTATAACAGGAGGTCAAAAAGCTACCAGGCTCCTGGTAATACCATCAGCTCATACCCGAAGCAAATCTCACAGTTCAGATGAGTTAAATTTATTCAGCAAGGGGTTCAAGAAAGAACCAGCAAGATTCCAGCAAATATCTACTTTGAAAGCAGGAACTGTATTTAGGTGAATTAGGACAGGAGGCCTCTTATTTGTTTTATTGCATTTTTTTCAATGTAAAGGGAAGGGAGATTACAATTGTTGATCGTTTTGGTAATGGATAGATGGCTTCTTAACCATCCGAGAACCACTTCTCAGAAACACATCCCAAAGGACGGCAATGGCAACCCATTCCCATACTGGTGCTACTTGTCAAGAGTTGAGTATGTCTTGAGGGCTCTTCAGGTTAAGGAAGAACTGTGGTGGTAAGGAGGCACACAACCCACACAATTGCAATGCAAAAACTATGTTCTGCAAAAATGTGATTGAGTAAGCCGGAAAACAAAAATAGTTACAACAAAATGAATATTAAATTTAGTATAGGAGGGAGTGGATGGGTTTTTTTTCACTAATCATTGAAAGGACACACATTGAACAGGAATTACATCATTCTGCCTTGATGCAGAGGCGTGCTTGTGATACAGAAGCCACATTTGATCATGATGCTGCAGCTGCTCTACCAATTATAGGCAGGGTCTAATCAGATGGCCTTACAAGCCAATATTATAAATGCTTCAAGGATATATTGAATGATATATTACCGGGGGGCGGGGGGGGGGAGATACCTCAAACTTGAAAAGAAGCTAATATTGTGTTACTACCAAAGGAAGGTTGAGAGGTTACGAAGGTAAAGAACTACAGACCAATCTCACTATTAAACAATCAACTATCAACTTTTTGCTGCAGTTTTGACAGAAAGATTAAAGAAGATTTAAAGCTACATATTCATGAAGATCAATCTGGCTTTCTGCCAAAAAGACAGCTAAGGGACAATGTGTCTTGAACATTATTGAATATTTACAATATCATAATGAGAAAAAGGCAGCTTTAATAAGGCAGGGTCTAATGAATAGTTCATGGTATACTTTTCTCGGAAGCGAAGGAGCCCTGCCTCCTCTTCCTTCTTTTCCTCCTCTTCCTCCTCCTCCTCCTCCTCTTTCCACCTTCCTCTTCTCCGCCTTCCATCTTCTTCTTCCTCCTCCATTGTTACATGTACAGTCTAAAATGAGGTATTTCTGCTAAATAGAACAACTATCCAACCATTTCTTAAAAGCAGTGTACCTTCTTGGAGTAATTTATTATATACTTACGGGTCATTTGACTTGGGTATCAAAGTACCGAGTTCTTTTATGCGATCATTAATATTGAATCGTCGTCTTCTTTCAACTTTTAAGAAAGCAGTATAAAATTAGGAATCAGAGATGGAAGAGAACATTTGAAAAAATAACAAACCATCTTTATTATTAACTGATCCCTAAATTCAATTAAAGAAAAATACTCTACAACATAGATTTATCAACACAGCACAAATTGGGCAGAATAAAATCTCTAAGCCACATCCACAGACTCCAACAATCAAATTAGAACCACTTTCATTTTGTTTTAAATTATTATTTTTATTTAGAAATTGTCACATCAGAAAAAATTTGGCATAAATATGCAGGAAATGCCTTTAGAGAATAAATAAATCAAGAGTGCCTAAAATAAAAAAAAATCTATGACCTTTTAAAATAATTTAAATCTATGTAGCTAGATTTTTGTTACATTAAGCATGGAGAAGCCAATAATATTAAAGAAGTCTGCTTAAAATTCAAATTAAGTATAATATCCATATTATACTTACAATGAATATATTTTATTATTTGCATCTAGTTATACAGATTTAACAAAGCTCTACTCCCAGCTAACACATAAACTCTTTTAATTTATATTATTCATAATCAATTCTTAATTTTGGGAGCACAGGAAGGCTTTGGTACAGTGGAATGATATAAGATATGATTGGAGTAATTATGCTAGATTAAAATGACTTCCTACTAGCCTTTTACTATTTGTATTAAGGATGAAAAACAAACAAATAGTCAGGGATTTTATTATCTTTTTTGATGTTTTCAATGTCACTTTGACTTTCTGATTCCAGCCAAAAATTATTTGGAAATATAAAGGAATCAAATATACAGTAATTTTATAAGAATATATTATTTTTATATTACAGAAACTAAACAAACACTGAAGAAAATTATTAAATTCCTTATAAAAGTACCAATGTATCAAATAAATGTTTTAAAACCAAGTAACAAAATAACAAATAAATATCTAATTTCCTGTACAGAAAACTCAACTGGACATTTAGAAATATTTAAGTAATTATATTTTCCACCCATTATTATGAAAACAGGTTAAATTCTTAAAATCTCAAAGACTGTGAGTTATTGATTCTTGTCTATTGTTTATTGACCGTTGGGGGGAAAAAACAAGCAACTTACTTAAATTGTGATTGTCTTTCTTTTGTCTTTCTTTGGCCAAAGCTCTTGCCTCTGATTCTATGGGAAATACACATGATATGCATGTTAATGAAGTAATCAGATTTAGTTTTATATTAAAAGGCAACACTTGCAAAGTAAACTTTGATATTTCTCTGCTGCATTCTACTTCATATATGCTCTGACTGATGTACCTATATACCACCTAAACTGCATCATAGCAAAATCTTCTGATATATTTCCATGGTCTAATATCATGGATGTTCAATCTGACTTATTGGGGATATAGGTTCAAGTTTAAAACTACGAAAGCCTGTAGCTCAGGGCTGTCAAACTCAAGGCCTGTGGGCTGGATCCAGCCCTCGATGTAGTCGGATCTGGCCCATGGGGCCATCCTGGTCTACCCAATGCGAAGAGGAAACATGCCAGCAGTTTGGGGAGTGGCATCAAGCTGGCCATGCCCACCCAGTTGGCCACACACCCCCAGCCTTGGGGAAGAGGCTGGGTATGTGTGGTCCTTTCTTTATAGTATGGCTAGCTATCATTAAAGGACCAACGTTAACATTCAGGGATATCCTTAGCAAGAAAACAGAATTTCTGAATGCAAAAACGGGATTCAAACCCTCGGTCCATGAGGTGAAAAATAAACTAAACAAATCACAGCTTGTAGAAAAGTAGCATATGAGAAATAACATTCAAAGGCTGCTTTTCTCTCCAATGGTCTGCTAATTCAGCAACTACTCAGGAGGAGTTTTACTAGTGTTTTATGCTAGTATAATGTTGTTGGCAATTGGATTTCATGAATAAATGTGATTTGTGAAATCTATTTTATGATGATTCCAAATGTTATCTTTCCCATTTCAGGAAGCCATGAATACAGAGATAAATACAGAGGTGGAATTTTGTTTAGATATATATTTGTCACAGAAAATCAGAGCTGCCATTGCTAGTATCTTTAGAATAGCAAAAAAGAACATGTAAATTGACTGGGGCCTCTTTCTTATGTGGATCTGGCATGCTGAAGTGTACTAATCACTGGAATCTACTGTAGCTGTAATGCTGCCACCTTAAAGGTTAGAAATGACGGATCAAAATAGAGCTGGAAGGGACCTTGGGAGTCTTCTAGTCTAACCCCATGCTCAAGAGGAGACCCTATACCACTTCAGACAAGTGACTGTCCAGTCTTCTTTAAAGCCTCCAGTGATGAAGCTCCTACAACTTCTGAAGGCAAGCTATTAGGAAGTTTCTCCTTAATTCAAGGTTGCTTCTCTCCTTGATTAGTTTCCGTCCATTGTCTCTGGTGCTTTGGAAAATAAGTTGACCCCCTCTCTCCTTTGTGGCAGCCCCTCAAATACTGGGATATTACTACCATGTCACCCCTGGTCTTTCTTTTCTCTAGACTAGCCATATCCAATTCCTGCAACCGTTCTTCGTATGTTTTAATATATCCTTCATGCATAGTAACATATTAAAGTAACATTTTCAGTTGAGGCAGCAGCTAACCTGAGGATAATGGGCTGCATTCAGTTAAGCCTCCATCTGCCAGAATATTTTCCATCAGTAGAACAGGAAAGGAAGAGATTCCTCCTTTTTCGTGTACCCCTGTGTACCCTGCACCCTCAAAATCTTCTCCAGAAGGTTGGGGAACGAGTCGGCCAAGTCCTGTTGCACAAGTATAAAAGTCATTTTGTGCAACGTTGGATTTTATCCATTAAAATATTAGGTTTGCTCCAAGGAAGCAGCATATTGTAATAAAGCTAATACTTTTTTCCCTCTAACTACTAATAAAAAAAGCTACACATATGTTTTATTAACCATTGGATGAAAATCAACCATGCAGTGAAACGTCTGTATTGGCTACTCCTAGATTATTTCTAAATATGGGTAATAAAGGCCTCTTTATTATAAAGGCATAATAATGAACAAACGTGGCATCTTCCTTAAAGAAGCTGCATCAGACACAACGATGCCTTATCTTTGCTGGTTTTGTTTTGTTTTTTCCCCTCATGTCCCTTCCTTAAGAAAAGAAAGGCAAATACTATACATTAACAAAAATATTTTCTGCACTCATGACTTGCCCATCGATTCAAGGATGCTGTTGTAGGCCCATACAACGTGACTGGTACAAGAAACTTTCTCAGAGAACTTGACATTTCACATTTGAACACAGCATCATTTATTTTCAGACTACGCTATGTGAACCATAGTGTATATACGACAAATGAAGCAAATGAATAGTGAAAAAGACACTTGGTAAACAAGCAAATCTTCATTTTCCTTGTTGCTCTATACTTTTTATTTTGCCCATCACTTGTTCTGTTCCATATGAAGTTGTTTTACACCAGGGGTGTCAAACTCAAGGCTCACGGGCCGGATGTGGCCCATGAGGTGCTTAAATCAGGCCCATAGGGCCATCCTGAAAATAGCAAAGGACCAGCCCATGGTGCCTCTGGCAGCCAAAATGGGGAATTTTTGGCTTGGCAGGGTGCTGCAGGAGGCTGTTTAGGCCAAAAATGGGATGGGGGGGGCAGCTCATGTGGCCCTGCACCCCATTTTGGCCAGCAGAGTGCTGTAGAAAGTGTCCATCCCATGTCCCTCCCCCACTGGCCAGCCGTGGAGAACTACAATGCGGAAATGTTGAATAAATTCAGTTTGACACACCTGTTTTACACCAAATTAGGCTGTTGGTCTACCAAGCTCACTTCTGTCTACACTCCTTGTACCTCAGCTATCATAGAGAAATTAACTTTTTTGGCCACTTAAGTTTTACTTCTTTTAGTTTTTTGGGTTCAAGTAGGAATAGCAGTGGTGTGTTCCACATGACTGCAATTGTCACTGGTAACCTCAGGTCACCCTGATCTCCCTTGCCTTCTCTCCCAGCGGGCCTGCTTTCCCTGCCAGGTGAAGAGGAACTATGGAGACTTGCAAGGGAGGACCCGATCTGTTGACAGCATCAGCAGAAACAACTGCCCTTGCTCTTCTGAGAAGGCAGAGGGTTTTCTAGTGTTGTTTAGGAAGCTCTGCAAGAATACTACAAGGACCTGGCAAAGATCCCAGCTTCCATCTTAGCTGGTGGCAGGTAAGAGGGTATATTCTGTGGAAGGTCTCAAAGCATAATGTTAGTCAGAATGGATTCCCCAAGATTAATAGCAGCTCCTTTAAAGATGAGAGACCTAAGAATCCTTCTGAGTTGGATGTTTTTGAGTAAAATTGTTCGGAATTATTTGTGGACTCTGGGAATCTTGTCTTAAACAAGAACAGAAACAGCTGCTGAAAACAAAAGGAATCCAGGAGACTCATTTGGGGAGCTGGAAAGTATCTATTTAAAGACTAAAGATTGGGCCCTCTTTGAGAAAGGGTGCTTGGCTGATGAAACTTAACCCTTTTCTGTTTCTTTTTTTAAATCTCCTTCCCCATTCAGTTTGCTGTTTCCTTCTCCTCATTTCTCCCCCTCCCCCCATCTTTTTTTTCATTTGCTTCCCAGGGCAGATGCTCCTTGCCTTTCCTCAGTCTTCCTTATTCCTAATTCCTTGAGTTTCTGATAGAAGGCATGGGAATCTGTCTGGGTCTATATTGGAAAGTCAATTAATTTTATAAATGGAAAACTTTACAAGCAATTCATTTTAATGAATAATTATTAATTCAATTTTTAGCATCCTGGCCCTATATTCTGACCGTATATTGCATTCAAATGATACAGATACAGAGTTGGAAGGGACCTTGTAGGTCATCTAGTCCAACCCCTCTGCCCAAGAAGACCCTACAATGAACCTGGCAATTCTAAATTGATCGTGGTGAAGCTGGTCTCTGCATAAATTTTTGCCCTGTGTTTATCTCCCCATCTCATTCCCAGTCCCCGATCATCTTTCTTTCAATAAATATAGTAGAAAGTGTTTAATCCAACGGGATGTTTATATTTCTAGCGCTAAATTGCATATATTCCTTACGTGGCTTGTTTATTATACTTTTAAAAACAGAGTTCATATTTACCTGTGAGTTCCCTTTTTATATTAGGAAGGTTAGCAGGACAGGAATTGCTGATGTTAAGTCCTGGGGGAGGCAAACCTTGATTCCCATACAGGTCCACTAGATTGCCAGAGACAGGTAACTGGAAAAGATAAAGAGATGAGATGTTAGCTCCCGTGATCCCTGCAAAAATCCTTGATAGTTTTAAAACTGAAGTTCAGATCAAAGAGTACCAACAGTTCTGATATTGTTGCTTGCCTATCAATACAGCTCCACCAGTAATGAAGGTTATATCTTGATGTCTGTGATGTACTTCAGAGAATGCAACCAATATACAGAATTTGGAAGACTGGCACTCAGACAAATCAGCCATCAACAGGTACTGAGACATAAACATCTACGCACCATTTAAAACAGACAATCAAAAAGCCCAAAAGGAAACAGAAAGACCAAAACACCTGCTCACCTGCAATCAACACCCATATGAGCAGAGATTCACACCAAGTTTTATATTAGGCCAACAATAAAAAAGCAAACAATACCCTATGAAGGAACCTCAAAACAAGCTAATAGTAAACAACAGACCAATCAAGAAACCACCACCAAGACAACTCTCACTAACACTAACAGGGTAAGCCACTAGAATATTAAATGTAAGCAAAACAACCAAACACTGATAATGTTACCTAGTTTGGTAATCAAACGTCTGCAAGAAAACAACCAAGCTCAGAGAACACAACAGACCCCACATTGTAGGATTGAGTTGTTCAGGGTGTAATTCTATAGTTGTCTAATTAATTCACTGTTTTCCAACAAAGGGTATGTTTCAAAGTACCAGTTTGGATGTTTAAACCTCTCAACAGCCTCAGTCTAGGGAGTCCTAAAGCTTACTTTATTCTACAGGAATATTTACCTAGGTATTAATAAGACTTTGGAAGACCTATCTTGCAATCACTCATTCTCCTTAATATGGCACATAAGACACAATTACTTCAGGGGCACTGAAGTGTGACACTAAAACTATGGAATTTGTAGGGATTATTCTTTTGTTTTACAGTGTTTAGCTTTTAGAAATAAAAACAAAACATATTATTTTTGGAAAATTTTCAGAAAATAATTCATTTTAAAATTCTGTGCTGCTAGTCAGTGCTGCTTTGAATATGCATATTATAACTCAAAAGGCTAAATATAAGAGTATTAAACAAATAAATCGAAGGTTAAAAAAAACTTCCCCATGGTTACTTGCAAGTCTAAAAGAAATCAATGGAGTTTACTCTTTGCTAAATATTTAGAACATTTAGTAAAAGGTACCACAAATAGCTTTTAAGATAGTATTGTGAAAATCTGAATGTTCTACTTAAAAGATAAACTGCAAGAATGAACAGACCAGTTCTGAAGATATGTGCATTTTTATTGCGTCAAAGCAAATGAAACATGTATCATGTGTGACTTTTACATAAAGGTCCATTGCAATAATTTATAGCATCTAATTTGTTGCATCTCGTAAAAACGAGATTTTCTGTGACTATTGTATCTCAATAGCAAATGAGCACAGCTATCACTGTTACTGACTAGGCCTTCTCTTCGCTATTGAACAATGGCATCCCTATTAACGATGTACAACTATTCATGGACTCCAAGGAGACACCTTTGTTTATTGGGATTTTGCTTATCTTCTACTTTAGGGGGCCTGGCATCCGACTAGACCACGAATTCTAAAGATAGTCCCCAGTATAACCGAGTAAGATTACTGTATTTCAATATGGTAACATAATTCCTGGATTTGAGCTACGGATTTCAAGTGGATAAATGTACTACAATTGTGTCTTACTAATTTATATATGTAGGGCAATCTTCCAAATTAACAGACAACCTATAGGATACATTCTGGTGTAGACTCCAGTAAGAAACTTCAAGAAATACCAAGGAACTCTACTGAAGCTGATAAGAAGATGCTGTCCTCCAAAAGTCATGATATGTTTTTGGGCAGTGTCCCTTAATTTCCAAGTACATTTTCTATGTTCCATTCCTCTGAATTCTGAAGCAATGATAACCAACCTGATTTAGACTTTGGATAATAGAGGAGTTAAATCATAGATTTTAATCAGAGGTTTTTGATGGACAGAAACTTGCTCTTTTAGCTCAGGTAAACCAATGCACACACACATACACACAAAAACATCTAAATGGCCAACTGAAAAAAGGTAAAATTACAAGCAAATTTTGGACAGTCCAGTAACGACCTTTGAAATAACAGAAGCAATTAATAGGGCTAAGATAGGTAAAGTGCCAGGATCTGATGGTTTATAGTTATATGATTCTATAAAACTTTTGAAGAACAATTACTTCTTCTGATGAAGGATTTAATGAACTCTATTAATCAAAGGAAACTAAGCCTGATTCATGGAAAGATGTCTTTGATACCTAATGTGGGACTGAACTTCTATGAAGAATTACAGACCAATTTTTCTTCTTAATAATGACTATAAATTGTTTACATCCATTTTAGTTGAAAAGACTTAAGAAAGTTTTATGAGATTATATACATGAAGACCAATTGTCAGAAGACAATTAAAAGATAATGTGAGAGTAATCTTGGATATACTCGAACATTTACAACAATGTAGTAACAAACAGTTTCACTAATCTTAGTTGCAGAGAAAGTTTTTGATCATTTGAGTTGGGACTTTATGCTTAAAGTAGTCAAAAAGATGGACTTTGGACTGATTTTTCTACAGGGATTGAAGTCTATTTATACACACCAGAAAGCGGTGGATGGGGATTATGGTGGATGGGGATTTGATAAAACCATGTGAAATCCAGAAAGGAAGATAGGGGAGTCCTTTATCCCGTTTATTATTTATCCTGGTGCTGTAACTGTTAGACAAGATGACCGAGTAAAAGGATTACAAATTAAAGCTATAAGTATAAACTTTGTGCTTTTGCTGATTACTTCATTTTGATTTTGCAAGACACATTAGAGAATATTGAGTATATTATAAGGATGATTAAAATATTTGGAGAAAATGAAGGGTTTAAAAATAAATACATTTAATGGGGTTTCCGGTTTGCAAGGCTTTGGCGGTGGCAGGAATCCACGATCGTGCGCAGTTCCTGCTGCGCTCGCCGCCGAAGTGCCTCCGATCTAGCTGGATCTGGAGGATATGGTTGCCCCATAGAGGCAACCGAAGATAGAGGAGATCCAAGTAGGGGTTTGGGGGTATCGCAAACCCCCTCCTCAGCCGGCTAAACTCCTTTTTCCCAAGGCGGTGGAGCGGCGGTCAGCAATGGCCGCCACAAAGAAGCCTGCAGCCGGGTAAGATTGTGCAGGAGGAAGTTGGAGAAAGTGAAAGTTTTTGGCTGAACCGGGACAACAAGGAACCTTTAAACAGCCTGGAATTTTAATTGCTTGAATGATACATTGTTTCCTAAGAAGACTGGAAAGCAGCGGAAGAAAATTGAAAGGGAAAGTTATTTTCTCTCACTCTCCTTCCCCATGGAAATAGCTGATGGAAATCGGAAAACCTGCTTGGGCACAGAAGGTAACTGAACTTGAAATTTAAAGCCAAGGGGATAAAAGATTTCTGAACATTGGAATTAAAAACTAAAACCTTTTTTGCTATAAGTGGGAGGGAAGAGGTAAAGAACTTATTTTAAGATTGTACTGAAGGAGACTGCTTGGAGTTTATAAGACCAGAAATAAATGGCAATAAGACTTCTAAAAAATTACTTTGGAACTGTGTAATTGAACTCTACCCCAGGAAGAGAAAATATAAAAAGAAGAAAGTGCTAAATGAAACAATTTATTCTGATTTGTGACTTTGGGATTTTTGGGAATTATTTCTTGAAAGATTAAAAAAATTGGGTTGTTCTTAAGAAAAAAAATGGCATTATCTGTTGAAGAATTACAAATGGAATTTCAAAAACTAAAAGAAGAGGAACAAGAAGGCAAGGGCTCTTCTGGATCTATTTTTCACTTTTTAGAAATGGCGATTTCTACCTACCAAGAAATACAACAACAAGAAGGCTGGGAAAAGAAGCCATCTTTAATGGACAGACAATCTTACTTGAGGAAGAAAAGAGAAAGGGGGGAAAGAAAATGGAGAATTCAGAACTTAAAAAAGCAACCAAGAAAGGGAAAAATAAGATGAAAAATTGATACAATGTCAGAAAGCAACAGAAAAGAGAAATACAACAGAGAGGGAAGATTAAGAGAGTGGAGTTTGAGAGATGGGGGGGGGGGAGGCTAGAAGTGATAAGAAAGGAAGGGAAAAAGGAAAGAGAAGTCATAAAGGTTTAAAACAAGATGTTAAAAAACAGGTTTTTTTCAGAGACAAAGGGTAAATTATAATTTAAAAAATGATTCTGCAAAAGTACATAAGATTGTATTGTAGATATTAGTATTTGAAATCGAGTTAGAAAACTGAAATATTATATGAGTTAATAATGCATTAAAGGGAATGTATAAAAATGTTTAAGATTTAACAATAGAGTTTAACTTTTTATGGAATATTGTTTTTACTATCTTATAAACTTAATTCTCTTTTTTTGTTTTATTATTCTAAAATGTAATACTTAGAATGTACTAAGCAGAATCAGTATGGAAAGTATGTATTATTTTAAGTGTTAAATTTAGGGGAAAGATAAAAAGTTGTCATATTTCAACCAGTGATTACAGGAGAAGTATTGTATTAGAAAGAAAAGATAAATAGATAATTGAAAGAGAACGGACAAAAGATGCAAGTATAATTATCTAAATTGAGATAAATAAAACAGAATTAAGAGAGTGAATGAAGAGAGAAAATATATAGAAAATATAGAATGTTAAATAAGATATGAAATAGTATATTAAGTGAGCATGAATTTGATTTATGTCTGTACAAAAAGATGTAACCCGGGGTAAGCCGCTTTCCAAAAAGAAGTTTTATGTATTTATGTTTTGTGTTTTGTTTGTCTATGTTTGAATTAATAAAACGCTAGAAGAATGTTGGAAGAGAATAATGAAATTGTAAATAAGACAGATGGATACAATGAATATATACAATTCAAGGCAAAAGAAATATAATTGAATAGAAGGAAAGGGAGAAATAAAGAGAAGTTGGGAAAAGATATGAAGTTGAACAGATAAGATAAATATACATATTAAACTGTGCTTGTATGGAAATGTGATAATTTGGAATTATCCTGTCTTTAAATAAGATGTTTTATTTGTTTTTTCAGAAAAGATGTCCTATGTTATTATATTCTACGTTTTGCTTGTTTGTGTATTGTTTTTAAAAATTAATAAAATTTGTTTATTAAAAAAATACATTTAAGATGACAATACTAAGAATTTGAATGTGGAAATGAAGACGAGATTAGAATTTAAAAATGGACTTAAAGTTGTGAAAAGGTAAAATATTTAGGAGTGACTCTCACTAATGAAAATTCTAAGTCATATAAAAATAATCATGTAAAAATATGGAAGGAGACAAACTTGGACTTACATAGATGGAAAAACTAGATTTGTCATTAATCAGAAGAATTTCATTAATTAAGATGAATGTACTGCCCAGAATGTTACTTCCAGACTATCCCAATATTGATTAAAGATTCTTCTTTTAAACAGTGACAGAAAGATATGTCCAAATTTATTTGAAAAAAACAACAACCCAAGAATTAAATATGAGCTCCTACAGAATGCTAAAGAATGAGGAGGTCTGAGTTTGCTGGATCTCAGATTATATTATGATGTCTGTTTGGTATGGTTAAAAAACTGGATATTTTTGAAAAAGCCAAACTTTGTTAGACCTTGAAGGTTATGATTTAAGACTTTGGTGGAATGCTTATTTGTGGAACCATAAAGTAAAAGTTAACCCTGGTTTTAAGAATCATATTATTAGACAATCAATTGGGCATGTAGGGTGGAAATATAAAAGAAGATTGGCTAACAAAATGCCATTTTGGCTAAAGTGATACTATTGGATTCTAAATAGATGACATATTGAGATCTACTGATACTTGAACAAGAAGTATTTCAGATAAAAAGAAGAGAGCAACTTGTGAATAGTGAAGTGAAGGATTTGTTTGTGATTGGTTTAATTATTATAGAATTTTTAAAGATATAAACTTGATAAAAAGTTTAGTATTTGCAGGAGTTAAATCTGAACAGGAAGTTTATAAAATGTTACTTAAGATGAATCTGGAAGATGAACTTATTAAAAGATTGTATGCTAAAATGGGTGGGAAAAATTGGTTACAAACCAATGCTAGATCAATAGGAGAATATATGGAGAGGAATATATTAGATTTTTGGTATAGCTTTCGGTATTCAGCTAGGGTGGATTTTTTCTTATATTTAATATTAGATGTATTTATTATGGGTGGGGTCTTGTTAGTGTTAGTAGTTTTTTTCTTCTTTTTCTTCCTTTTCTTTGTTTTACATTTTATCTTTTGTAATAAAAGAATAAAAAACATGTTTTAATAAAAAAAAGTTACTAAGTCATACAAGAGTAAGAACTAAGAGACACAACAGAAAACAAAATACCGTATTTGCAATTTGTAGGGCAGGATCCATTAAACCAAATATTTCTTCATTATAACTTGATTCCAAACTGATTATGTCATCAATTACATCATCCATCTGTAACAAACAATAAGGAGTATCAGAAATCTGAACTAGGACAAAATATGTTCACACGCATCAAACACTCAGAAAGGAAAGACCTCCTGTATATATAGATAGTCCTCGACTTACAATCATTCAATTACAATGGACCTGAAAAAGTGACTATGACCATTTTTCACACTCACGACCATTGAAGCATCACCATAGTCATGTGATCAGACCTTTGCCAACTGCATATATTTATGATGGATGCAGTGTCATGGGGTCATGTGATCACCTTTTGCGACTGTCTAACAAGCAAAGTCAATGGGAAGCCAACATTTTCTTTAACAACTGTGTTACTAACTTAACAACTGCAGTGATTTAACAACTGTGGCAAGGAAGGTCATAAAATGGGGCAAAACTCACTTAAGAGCTGTCTTGCTTAGGAACGGAAAGACAGGGCTCTATTGTGATCATCAGTTGATGACTTCCAATATGATGTACGCTTCTACCCATTCCCAGCTGTTAATCGTATTATTTATAATGTTGTTATATTGTTTCTATTCTGTTTTAAAAATATTGTTAGCTATCTAGAGTCCTGTATTTGATTTGGAAAGTTATATCAATTCCATAAATAAAAATATCCCAATTTATTTATTTAGGAGCAGGGCACCAATCCTCTAACTGAGGGCTGTCAAACTCCTGGCCCGTGGGCTGGATGGGTCATGCGCTGGCCCAAAGGGGAAAAAAGTCCCGATACATTATGTGATGCCGCCGTGACGATGTGAGTTTGACACCCCTGCTCTAAACTTCTTTGATCACCCATTTTTTTTTTAAAAAAAGCTATTTCCTGTTTCAAGATTATGTACTGTGAGCCCTACTGTAAATGGCTATAAACCTGTTGTGCATCATATTATGTTAAGGGAAGATCAGTGAGAAAAGAATGGTTGCAAAATCAGCTTCAGCTTCAAAAATATATCTGCTCTTTTATGCCTGGGTTAACTAGTTACACATACTCAAATCAGCCATACAGATAAAAAAGTAAGGAAACAAAATTAATTTAAAAGAAGTAATATGAATTTAGAATTTAGAATCTAGAACCTAGAACCAAGAGACAAATCCTCAAAAGTAATGCACTACAATAAGACATCTTGAAAGATATATAGATATTTCCTATCCCTGGTGCTGACAATTGCTCATATCTTGGAAGTTGATAAAAAAGGAATTAGTTCAAATATTATATGATGATATGCGTTTGTTATACAAAACCTTCTTAAATAACTACATATATGTTTTCTCAGAGGACATTTTTAATATTTAATAAGAGTTTTGTCTATACTCTTCCCAGAAATACCAATCTCAATGTTCCTTAAACTGCAAACTATAACAGCTACATTGTAGTATGGACAGAAACTCTTATTTTCTTATTGAGTAGACTGAATATTTTGTTGCTTGAAAGGGATTATATTAGGGATTTGAATAATCTGGCATTCCTATAAAGCAAATTATTTTTGGCTATTTAAAAATGCATTTGCATGTTTTATTGACAGAACACAAATGTATTTTATATTAGATCTCCATGGATAAGTAATCTGATCAGATCAAAGACCACTGAGTTACTGGGATTTACGTCCTAGTGAAAGACTACAAAATTCAAGCCACAGTCAAAATTCTACCACTCTGTGTAATTTCTAACTGTTCATAACAAAGTATGCCATAGACATATTATTTCCAAATGTGTAATTATTCAATTGCTTTCTAACTAGATTTTAGGTATCCTAGTGAACTAAATGAATGAATGAATAACCTGAAATGAATACATCTGAAATAGGCTTAGAGATCTCAACAATCACAAAAAGATTCTATCAGACAATATGCAAAGCATACATACCTGCATGCATGACACTCGAGAGTGTGTATTCAGAGGCTGGCATTCCTTTTCGGCTCTGTTGTTTTGTTCTTCAAATTTATAAAAGCCCTGCAACCATGAAAGAAAGAGAACAAATGTAAGAACAAATAGATCAGAATGGGATAGAGCGCAACACCAGGATAAATAAAATATTATTTAATTAATATTTAACTAACCAAAAGGTCTTTAAAACAGAAAGTTAATCCTGTCACAACAGAATAAATACATCAGATTTTAATCATGAAAATTAAGGAAATGCGAATACTGTTCTCAAAAACTCTTTGATTGCACCAAAAAATTAATACAAAAAAGTCCTAGAAAGATCCACGCAAATTAGCCTTTTTGGTCCAACAGTGGTCAACCAGGTGATTCTGGAAGATTATTTATTAGTCTGTGAAACCAGGTAGTCCTCACAACTTGTTCCCCAATAGTTTTCACCAGCATGGAGTTCCATACCTCAATAGACCTGTTGTCCATTCACAGTTTAATCCCTATTAAACACAACTACACTAGCAACCAAGGGCACATCCTGTAGTGGAGAATTATACACATTCATAATTCAAAAGTCACATCATGTTTATTTGTTTGTATGGCAAACAGTTTCCTGCAACTAGTGTGTGTGTGTATGTGTGTGTGTGTGTATATGTGTGTATGTATATATGCATATATGTATGTATGTATGCATGTATATGGATATAGTATATACATATACACATACATACATACACATATATTCATTTTTAACACACACTGATTCTTCAATTCTCCTTACACAAATGGTTGTTCAAGTGTTCTTGTGATGGAGGTAGATCAATTGTGATAGTGAGGAATATTCTGGGGTAGGTTTTACTACTCATAAATGGGTGTTCTTTGACTGGCAAAGTACAGCTATTTTGTTGAACGCATAAAATTCACTAAGAAGTATCAATGTTGCCTAAGCTCCAGGACCTAGATTGTTGGGGGAATATGCTCACTCTATAAATCTCTTAAAGAGGGCTGTCAAGCACTGTAAAACAGTATATAAGTCTAAGTGCTATTGCTATTACCTATTATTGCTATTGTCTTTCATGGTACTTTCAAGACTACTTTCAAGGCTACCATCTTATTCCTATCAAATCAATTCACGCACCTGGACAGGTAAGGAAGGAATGCTATGGACCCTCTGGAATAACCTCCCTCCAGGGGTGAGGCAGGCCTTCACTCTCCTGGCCTCTGAAGGAGGAATTTGAAGACCTGATCCTGCAAGTTTGCATGAAGAGCACACAAGCCTGGTAATGGCTGGTGCCTTAACGAATCTGCCTTCACCTTTTAACTTATTTTATTCGTGTTTTTATTGGCTCTTTTTATAGATGCATTGAATTTTTAAATAGTTTTTAGGATTTTGTATTTTTTAACTATACACTAGCACCATTAGGTAGTATCTAAATTTGACAAATGCATAAATATTGAAATTATGTGGGAAAAAAGATTTAGATTGGAATCACCTGTGGGACTCTGCATGCAGTTAAATAGGAATTTTCTGAAATCTCGAAGAGTATGGGTCATAAGGATGGAGAGAAAATTTGCTTAACAGTTAATTGGTTTTGGTCAATTAGCAATGAAAAAATCAACTAAGATCAAGTTAGTGTGCAAGAGTTCTGAAAATTCCATGAGAAGATTTATGTGGGAACCTGCAAAATAGCCAACAGTATAATGCTTGATTTGCATGTGTATAAGTGCAATCTAGGACTCTCTATATTTCAAATAGGGAGAGAATTCCTATAGTTGCTCTTATGAAGTACTTCATGCTTTTCATTTTGACATATTAATATTTATAGTTTCTGTTTCTGTTTTTAGGACAGTTGGATGAGCTGCCCAAAGATCTATTCCTGACTAAATATAGAGGACTGTGAGACCAATCAAGTATTTTCACAACCTGAAGAAAAAGAGACTACATGAGAAGCATCAAAGGTCAAAGACAAGATTTGCTCTTACCTCTTTTTCACAGTAGGAGTTCAATGTAAGCATGGCCATAGGGCTGTTGGGTGCACTGCTTCCAGTGCCCGGTGGCATAACGTGGTCAACAGGCTGATTTGGGCAAGGTAAGCTTAATGCCTGATTGTTGTGCTTATTTGCTAACGTAGTTGAAAGGTATTGTTTGACTTGTTGCCGTTGAGCTTGTTGGATGTGGTACTTGGTGGGGTTTTCCAGGTGAGTCTGCACCTGTGGACACAGAAGGAAAAAATGCAGCTTCTCATCAGTGTTTGGGAATCAGAATTGCTGTGAATATTGTGTCCATCGAGATTTACGCATCAATTAACTAACACTGTTTTTTTTCCACATGAAAACAAAGTTACATGTAGAAGGAAAACATGTATATTAATGTAAATGCATTGTTTAAAAAACAGTAATTATTATATATTATTATATAACAGACAGAACCCTGCAGATCAATACTTTAAAAATATCAGTAATTTATAAAACTTAAATAATAAGCAAATAACCAGAAAAGTATAAAATATACATTTTCTCAATAAAATTATTGATATACATACACTTAATAAAATGCATGCAAATAATTGATGCATTTTAAATCTGTTGGAGCCCAATGGACTTAAACAGCTATAAGAAATGTGAATAAATAAAAATGAATAAATAAAAATAGAGAATGGCATTCAGAAGTCTTTTTAAATGTCTCTGCTACTGCTACAAACAAAAAGCAAACACACGCTCAAAACCCTGAAAATGTATACCATTTAGATACAATGCTTAAGCATTTACTTTATGTTTTTCATCACTTTGAAACAGACTCTATTTGACTCAATTGCTTTTGTGGCATTCAACTAGTCTATGAAAAAAAACATGATGCTACATTAAAAACCGTGTTTTCCATTTCTCTACAAATATTCATACTGCACCCACAGTTATTATATTTATTAAGAAAAAATTGTTTGTAATCTTCTCTAAATTCCATTGTACCATAGGTATGCAAAAATGCATGCAAGCGTATATCTTTAGTCTCACTGAAATAAATAGATTTAGGTATCGGTAAATGGGAAACTGCTTGACGCACACAGGGAAAAAAAGAAAGGAAGAAAGGAAAAGAGAAAGAGAGAAGGAAGGAAGGGAGGGAGGAAGGGAGGAAGGGAGGAAGGAAGGAAGGAAGGAAGGAAGGAAGGAAGGAAGGAAGGAAGGAAGGAAGGAAGGAAGGAAGGAAGGAAGGAAGGAAGGAAGGAAAACTCACCTGATAATGATTATACTCAAGCATTTCCAGCATGGCATTTATATAGTCCTAGAAATGTCTGGCAACTAGTTGGACAATTCCCATTTTATTTTCTGTTCTACCAGTTCAAAGGCACAACGATGGATGAAGCATAAACAAGTTCTGCCAAATATGGCACAAGTAACTTGGACATTACATCTCAAGCTTATAATAACCATAAACTAATTTGTTATGCATATAAAAAAATCGGTTTGCACAGGGAACCTTTTTGTATTTGTGTACAGATGTGTTTGCGTGTTTGAGAAGCTATGTAAATTTAGCTTGGAAATTTTGGTACTATTTTTTTCCCATAGCTTTGACGTCACACTTTTTTTCACAAACATAAAAGATCCTTTTAAAGTGATGGGTTATCAAAGTCAAATTGATTATTTGCTTCAGGCCAAATAACTATTCAGCTTTCGTTCCAGTCATACTAGCAAACAGTGACATTTTTCTTTAACAGTATGATTACTTGTTTTAGGCCTACCGTTTAAGATGACATTGCAGAAAAAACTACTGGGTCATTTGTTTGCCTTATTCTCTACTGTTGAAGAAATGTTCTCACAATGACTTACTGTCTTTAAAACATGGCGGTGCTATGCCTCTTTACCATGCACTACTGTATCTTAAAATTAAGTTAAATTAAGGCTGACCTCATCATTGTAGGACATTACTTGCCTTAAGTGTGTTCTATACAGTTGAAGGGCTGTTTCACACAACACACTAACATTTCCGTTTGAGTTAACAAGCCTTAATAATATAAAATGTGATCTAACACATAAACCATGTCGCAGCTTAATGCAACATTCTGATACTCTGAGCCATAGACTGGGCTCCTCAAGTTCATGAAACCATTGGCTATTTAATTCTATGTTACCATAGTTAGTGAATTCTATGAATCCAGATCATTTGCCCAATACAGCGTACAAGTAGTCCTTGATTTTGCAACCTTTCAAAGTTCCAATGGCACAGAAAAAAGCTACTTTCAATCAGTCCTCGTACTTATGACCATCACAGCATTCCCCAACATCATGGGATCCAAATTCAGCTGGCATATGTTTATGATAGTTGCAGTATCCCCAGATTATGGGATTGTCATTTGCAATCTTTTCATCTAGCTTCCAATAAACCAAATAGCAATAGCACTTAGACTTATATACCACTTCACAGCCCTATCTAAGTGGTTTACAGAGTCAGCATATTTCCCACAACAATATGAGTCCTCATTTCCATCCACCTCAGAAGGATAGAAGGATGAGTCAACCTTGAGCCCGATGAGAATCGAACTGCCAAATTGCAGGCAACCAGCAGTCAGCAGAAGTAGCTTGCAGTACTGAATTCTAACCACTGTGCCACTGCAGCTCATACGAAGGAAGTAAATGGAGGAAGCTTAACAATGGTGTTAAGATTTGCTTAACAACAGTGGGTTCACTTAAAATAGCAGTGAGTCACTTAACAACAGCAGAACAAAAGGTTTCAATAACAGGCATGAATCATTAAACTGCCTTGCTTAACATCAGAAATTCTGGTCCCAATTATGGTTGTAAGTCAAGGATTACCTAGATCAGGGGTGGGCAAACTTTTTGGCTCGGGAGCCTCATTGACTTTTAAAATTTGACAGACGGGCCGCTACCTGGTGTTGAAATGCCTGTCATTACAAGTCAAAATCAAATGAATGCAATCATTCAATCATTCACATCAAACCTTAATTCTTCGGCGGGCCGGATTAAAAAGACCAACGGGCCGGGTGTGGCCCTCGGGCCGTAGTTTGCCCACCCCTGGCCTAGATATATGTTCTGCCTTGCCTACAGTCCTGGGAACAAATGCTTAAGGATTCTTTAAGTAAACTGTTCAAAAAAATAAAGGGAACACAAAAATAAGACATCCTAGATCTGAATGAATGAAATATTCTTATTAAATACTTTGTTCATTACATAGTTGAATGTGCTGACAACAAAATCACACAAAAATTATCAATGGAAATCAAATTTAGCAACCCATGGAGGTCTGGATTTGGAGTTACACTCAAAATTAAAGTGGAAAAAAACAGTACAGGCTGATCCAACTTTGATGTAATGTCCTTAAAACAAAATGAGGCTCAGTAGTGTGTGTGGCCTCCACGTGCCTGTATGACCTGCCTACAACTCCTGGGCATGCTCCTGATGAGGTGGCGGATGGTCTCCTGAGGGATCTCCTCCCACACCTGGACTAAAGCATCCCCTAAATCCTGGACAGTCTGGTGGATGGAGCGAGACATAATGTCCCAGATGTGCTCAATTGGATTCAGGTCTGGGGAATGGGCAGGCCAGTCCATAGCATCAATGCCTTCATCTTGCAGGAACTGCTGACACACTCCAGCCACATGAGGTCTAGCATTGTCTTGCATTAGGAGGAACCTAGGGCCAACTGCACCAGCATATGGTCTCACAAGGGGTCTGAGGATCTCATCTCAGTACCTAATGGCAGTCAGGCTACTTCTGGAGAGCACATGGAGGGCTGTGCGGCCCCCTAAAGAAATGCCACCTCACACCATTACTGATCCACTGCCAAACCGGTCATGCTGGAGGATGTTGCAGGCAGCAGAACATTCTCCACGGTGTCTCCAGACCCTGTCGTGTCTGTCACACGTGCTCAGTGTGAACCTGCTTTCATCTGTGAAGAGCACAGGGCGCCAGTGGCAAATTTGCCAATCTTGGTGTTCTCTGGCAAATGCCAAACGTCCTGCATGGTGTTGGGCTGTAAGCACAGCCCCCACCATGGAGTCTGTTTGTGACCATTTGAGCAGCCACATGCACATCTGTGGCCCGCTGGAGGTCATTTTGCAGGGCTCTGGCAGTGCTCCTCCTGTCCCTCCATGCACAAAGGCGGAGGTAGCGGTCCTGATGCTGGGTTGTTGCCCTCCTATGGCCTCCTCCACGTCTCCTGATGTACTGGTCTGTCTCCTGGTAGCGCCTCCATGCTCTGGACACTATGCTGACAGACACAGCAAGCCTTCTTGCTACAGCTCGCATTGATGTGCCATCCTGGATGAGCTACACTACCTGAGCCACTTGTGTGGGTTGTAGACTCTGTCTCATACTACCACTAGAGTGAAAGCACCGTCAGCTTTCAAAAGTGACCAAACCATCAGCCAGAAAGCATAGGAACTGAAAAGTGGTCTGTGGCTACCACCTGCAGAACCACTCCTTTATTGGGGATGTCTTGCTAACTGCCTATGCTTTCCACCTGTTGTCTATTCCATTTGCACAACAGCATGTGAAATTGATTTGTCAATCAGTGTTGCTACCTAAGTGGACAGTTTGATTTTACAGAAGTGGGATTGACTTGGAGTTACATTGTGTTGTTTAAGTGTTCCCTTTATTTTTTTGAGCAGTGTATATCCAACCCAATTTACACCAAACTCTATACATTTATAGTCCCAAAATAACTGCTACAATGTGTGCTATGGGGTACAAAACTGAGGTTTAATATGTCTAAAGGATGTCAGTTTGAGGGAAGCCAACAAAAGATGATCTGCCCCAAACCTTGTCCTTCAGTGCACCCAGTATCACTATAACTTGGCCCTTCTATTTTGCTATAAGTCCTCCTCTTTTCCCTTTTTCCATCATTCCCTTCAAACCAGGGAGTTAGGTCTTCACAGCATATAACAGCTTCTATTAAAATTTACTACTAGTGGTACAAGCAGCAGCAGCAGCTCTAGTGGTAAATTGCTATATAGGCATCATTAATGAGATGGTAGTGCAGGCTACTTCTGCTGACTGCCAGCTGCCAGAAATTCGAGTCTCACCAGCTCAAGGTGGACTCAGCCTTTTATCCTTTGAGGTCAGTAAAATGACGACCCAGATTGTTAGGGGCAATATGCTGACTCTATAAATCTCTTAGAGATGGCTGTAAAGCACTGTGAAGCACTATATAAGTCTAAGTGCTATTAAATTGGTAACTTCCAGATATGTGCAGCACA